GATTAATCTCACTGGGGGGCAAAATTCCAGTGAACAGAAATGGTAAGAAATTTGCCTGTGGAATGTAGAAACGTGCCCTTGGTGGCAATAACATTCCTGTAAGAGGTTGAATACCAATTAAAATAACGATCATGAAACAATAGCCCGGAACATAATCATCTGCTTCATACATATTTCGTGTCAATTGGTGTCCAGTTTGAAGAAAGGCTACCCGAATTGGCGAATTAACACGTCGTATCAATTCTTGACTATATATCCAACCAAATTTGATGGACAAATGTTTATTATTATGACAAACGACGAACCGGCTTGACAGTTATGCTGCGTAAGTATACATTTATATCCCCCAATTCGACTTCTAGTAGATCACCAGCTTTGACGTCCTCAATATCAAATGTCTCAGATCCTACCAATTTTGCGGGAGCATCAAAAAAGTCCAGCTTGCCCCACGTGCTACTATATGTAACATCTTCGCTAGCGACAAAGTTGAAGGTAGGTGGAAGAGGAGCCTCTTTGAATTGCCATGCGCGAATCAAGAAATGACATAGCCAATGTCTAATAGAGTCCCTGTTGCCTTGTTTAATCATTCTTTCGCGAGCATCGAGATGGGAAATGATGCGATCAAGCTCGACTTTTGAGAATGGAAGGAAATCTTCCTTAGTGTTGTTTTTAAGATCATGTCCTAAACGTGCTTCTTCCCGAAGTGCAGCGTGAACTTGCCAATGGAGTAACAAATCACCGTATCGGCGCAGAGGGCTTGTACACTTAGCCATCATTTCGACGCCAACTGCTACATGCGGGCCTGGAGTAGTGGATGGAAGTATTGTACCAAGTAATCGAAAATATTGCAGAGCAATACTAACTGGAGGGTGGCCATGCTCGTCCAGTGAAGGTAATACAACTTCTCTGTAGAATACCATCGGATCTTTTTTGTTTTTGTTGCGAGGAGTGACACGATAAGGGATTGGAACCCCTCTATCGTAGCACCATCGTGCTGCGACCTCTGCAGCGATTAACATAAGTGGCGCAACTGCATCTATTTTGGAGCCCAGACTACTAGATTCTTCTTTCTGCAATTGAATTGTTCCCGCTGTGGGCGACACTGATACATTAACATTGGCAGAGCTTATGGAAACACCACCATGAGCTATACGTTGCTTGAGCCGAGCATCGCCAATCCTGTGTAGTATTCGAAGATCTTCCTTGTGCTCGTCAGAAAGCTGATGGCTTTGCAGCATAGTCCTCTTCTCTGAAGTATGGGCGATAGGTGACCCAACAGTGCTGGAAGTGGAAATGATATTGGAGGTTGTAGGATCAGTTCCAGTAATGACTTCAGCAACTACCTTAGGTGTCATAAACTTTACATCCAAAAGGGTGCGTGGAGATATCCTTGTATCTAGTATGTCACCATTCAAATTCATCTTGGCGCTAAACGTCAAAGAGGGACGGTTAATGTCGAGACTGAGTTCACTTTGCACAAATTCAGACGGCAATAAGAAATACACTTCTTTTGGCGAATAGATGGTTTCAGTGCGATCTGAAATATCATCCGCAAACTCACACTTCGCTTCTAGTCGTGAGGCAGGATCGGCTGCATGAACATGAACCCAATACTCGTTTGGCGTTTCAGTGCGTTCAATTGATACTCCATCATCAACTTCATGAGCATCAACAGAATCAATGCAGTAAACCGGTAGATGGAACTCCTCTCGAAGAGCCGACATACTATCTTCAGAAGTAAAACAGTCTTTTTGAGAGATATCATTGCACCCGTGATTATGAACCCGAAGATCATAGGCTACCCGGTTCGCTGTGGGATGAATCTCACCTATTTCTTGCAAGAAAGTCCACGCAGTGCTTTGATCTAATTGGAAGTCCTCGTATCGTGCTATGATTCGAAGAAGGATGGAGCCCGCCGAGTTTATTGTGGAGTTGCGATCAATGGTTCGGAAAGCCGCCCATGACTTCAAGAACTCTGTATATGGCGATGGCTTAACTTGGCGTGGAAATTCTATTTTCTCATCCGATGTATTCAGAGGCCTAATGGTACCATGGGTTGTAAGTTGACGTGATTTGCGACTTTCATCTATAACCTCCTGACAATCTTTGACCCATCCAAGTAGTGAGCTCTTTTTGAGCATCGAATTCGTCTGCGAGGCTTTTTGGTACTTGCGAACTTCCTCGACAACGTACATGATATTCTTCACTTCTGCTTTGGAGCTAATTTCGTACTGCCCGCCAGTTCTAGTCGCTCCCCTCAATTGTGGTCGAAACCCAATTTCATCGCGCATAAGAGAACGATGTAGGGCATACAATACAGGGTATGGATGTGAACCATTCTTCCCTTTCAAATTGCTTTGAGGAACAATTTCATTAGCTAGCTCAACTAATGTAGCGTACCGGAAAGATTTATCTTTAGCAACAAGATTGTGAGCACGATCTAGCTTGGAGAAAGTGCTCTGATAAAGCTCTTCAGATTCATTCCAGAACCTATGCATCTTTTCTAAGAGAGGCTTGGTCGCTTCTCTAGGGACTTGTTGATCGAATTTGTGTATATCTGACCCATCCGATTGTACAGCTTCCGGCAATAATAGAAACGGTCGAATGGTGTTCAATTCATCGTTGCTAACGAAGCCTGGTACATAAAAGTGTGTAGATTTCATAGAGCCCTTAATCAAATTACCAGAAATTGTATAGAATTCGGCAAGTCTGCCGACATCGCGTATGTATATCGCAAGTTCCTGTCTTTGCCCTTTGCCACTAGTCGACTTATGTCAGTTCTGCATTTGAATTTCAATGGGCAATATAGTGAGTAGACACACATAACTTCAACGAGATCCCCGGGAATCAAAAACCCGCGCCTACTTCCAACATCGATCAGATCATGAAATCCAACAGTAGATATGTCATCATGCACTGCATCCTCTTCGTCATCGATTTCGAATTTGGTATCTTGGATTCGACTGCTTGCGTTGTCCAAACCTCCGGGTGAAGCATCGTCGTTGATTGTGACAGGTATATATTGACTGGCATGCTCTGCTTCCCACGCTTCTAGGCGCTGTCTAATCGGCACCAACTCTTCCTTCCTTTTATACAAAACATCAGACGAACCAGGAAGTTTGCGATTTTGCGTCTTTATTTTCGCTCGGCTCTGAAAACCAAGTCAGAAAAGTAAATTTGACTGAATGAAAAGTTTCACTTACTACATGGCTGGTGCTGAACGACTTCGTGCTTCGCCTTAATACTGTCTTTTGCTTCGATTGATCGTTGCTATCTTGGACTTGCAGCAGTTGTCGCCTTCCAAATATTGCTCCGGAATTGAAGTTTACAAGACACTTCCAGCAAACGAATGGTCGCACATTCTTTCTCGAGAGCTGAGAAGTTCTCAACATAGTCTTCACACACTGTGACAATTGGCGTGCACTTATATAGACTGTTCGAATTGTGAAGTATTTGATCGGCAAAATTCTCCGATTCATTGAGATAACGTTTTACACGACGTTATCGCGTTCGCACGTGAAATTTTTAAAACCTGGCCCAAGCTCCTTCTAGAGCACAGTCTCAGTATTTATTTTCTACTTTTTCTTCTCGCACAACCTCAAATGGTTAGGTATATATCTTTCCCACCATCCATCAGTTCATTGCACTGCACTGACACAACAAAAACTGACGCTCTTGAGCTATATTATTGAGGTAAGATATATCCCTATTTGTCCAGTATCACTCGACAGCTTCTCTTTCTATTACAATACAACTTGTATGATGAACAAAAATTAGCATGTATTACCTGAAGATATATTGTTTCGATAATATTTCGCTGTGGTCTACACCAAGATCTCTGACTTTTCACAACTTCTTGCATATCTGTATTATATCTGATCATGGCCCATGACTAATGATCGTTTCCACAGATTTTCTGGAGAGCATGTCTGACTCCAAGGAAGGACAATTCACTGTTCTTTACTTTGCTACTGCTAGCTCATACACTTCAAAGGATTCCGAGACTTTTGCTGCCCCTCTTCCTCTTTCACGATTGTTCGAAACTTTAGAGGATCGCTACAATGGAATGAAAGACAATGTCTTGCGCAGTTGCCTAGTGACTGTCAACTTGGAGTATGTTGATGTCCCAGAGACAGGCTCTGATGGCACAGACGTAATCATCAAAGATGGGGATGAGGTAGCCATTATCCCGCCAGTGAGCTCTGGATAAAGGAGTGCCATTTGTGATGTTGATAATATTTATGCCTCATTTGAAAGCCTTGTGAAGTCTCTGTGTCGTTCTATTAGCATATTTAATTCACACATTTAATTTCACGAATATTATCTACATTTTCAATGAATTCATAGTTGCTTTCGAATGCTTCAAGAGCTTACCATTTGGCCATGATGACATTAAAATACATCGTTGTATACATGATTGAGCGATGTGCCGGAGAATATGAAATCTCTTGTAATTATGGCAGAAGGCCGAGACACAGGAGGGCTGCATCTCGAACGTTCCGTCTTCAACTATTTCAGGCACAGGGGATTGTCCTAGTTGTTTTTGCGGGATTAGACTTTGAACCATTCTGCAAGGTGTCTAGCAGATAGAATGGTGATTGAGAGTTTGCATGGGAGAAGACCACAGGAGGGTTAGAGATTAGAAGAGGGCGCGAGAACTTATAGGGCTAACATGAGGAGCGACCCTGAGAGGCAAAGAATCGGTTGAAGAACTATGAAACATTTTCTGAATGGACATGGAAGGGAGTGTAGGAACATCCCATGGAGGGTCTAGGCGTCGCGTGGAAGACGATAATACAAAAGGGTAGAGTGATATCACCAAAATAATGTATTGAAGGGACGTTCCTGGGAAAGAGAAAGATTGGCATATGAGATCCAGAAGACGATGAACTTTGCAACGTGAATGTGTAGAGGGAGACACTCAAATCGTTAACGAAGGGTCAGACAGGTCTCGCAGGGCAAGAATCTGAAAGTGGGAAACGACACGACAGAATGGGGAAAGAGTTATGAAGCCAATTATTATTGAACTATGTATCCACAGCCCAAAATGTCACTTCATTCGAGGTACCTTGATCCAAAGCTATTCTAATAATGGACGAGATTCTGGGGAATCATCTTCCTCAACCACTCCCGAGTCCTTTTTCCAGAACTTCCTTGGATATTGCCTCGACATCTTCCACCACCTTTGGTTCCTTTCTCCAGTTTCCAAGCACTTCATGATAAGAAGGATAATGCCCAATGCCAGAAGTGTTCCATAAATTGATCCAAGAAATGTCAAAAATGTGATGCTGAGCCTCGATTAGTCGTGAAACACATGGGATCGACTTGAGCGCCACTTACGTTGAAACGTGACAACCTAGAGGCCTCGCTCTCAACTCCCATCCTTCAGACCAGAGAGGACAAATATTACTGTTGAAAATAGGTGCGAGGATCTTCATAGGAGATGCATTGGGGACGCAGGTAGAGGATACGGCACACCACGAGCAAGGGCCTACTGACAAACAATCCCAGCAGTCTTGATGGCCCCAGCATTTATTGAGCAACTCATCTGGAGTTTGGTTCTCGTCGAAGGTGCTTGATGTGTTTGTATTCATCATATATATATTCCGATAGTAATGGAAACCATCGGATTCATCAACTTAAGGTTGGTAGTTTGGTGAGTTACCCCGCAACCAAGGATATCCAGTTGAAAGACAAGGTCAAATAGGGAAGAAGTAGAGTGGGTAGGTAGCCTTTAATTATAACAAAGAGGTCTCATCAGACAATGAACTGGCATTGTGAGAGGTCGTCGTATTCTTGAATGACTGATTCTCAAGTAAACAACAGGGAGGAAGAAACTAGATGAGATACAATTGAGTAGGTCGTTGAGTAGGATGTAATTAGCATGCGCTCCAAGTTCGCAGGTACCACCAGTATTGTTATGATTATTACCTATTCTACGACCACCAATTCATTGTCACATAATATATAGAAATAGAATTTAAATTCCTTTAAACAAATAGTTAATTGAACTCTTTTTTGCAATACATATTCCATATAAATAAAAATAAGCCACAACTTGTATCTAAAAAGTCGTATGACAAACCATCCTTTCCATATATATACATACCTACTACATATTGTTTTCTTCTGTTGCTTCCCCAGCTTTTCTCTTCCCTCGAGCCTACTAGCGCTAGAAAATTACAACAACGGATCTTTTGACCATCGCATCCACGGCATCACAACTCTCCGATCGGACAGTCGGCACGAAATCAACAATCGCAATGGAAAACATTCCTTTAAATCTGGGTCAAATTGATCCTCGACTTCGAGATGATTCTAACACAGATTCGTTTGCGCAACCTCAACAGCACCCACATTCCGAAGCCCATCACCAACTTCACAATCTAAATACTCAACTTCCTGCAAGCGCACCTCAATTATCTGCTCCATCACCCACACAGCTTGCACAGCTACAACAGTATCATCAACCTATTCACGATGGAGACCAATCTCAAATTTATATGCCTCAAACGCCCCAGTCGGCGACTCATACACAAGACGATGGACACATGCTGGGAGACGCGTCGGTTGATCCAAAGCGATCGAGAGCTTGTGAAGCTTGTCGAGGATTGAAAGTTAAATGCGAACCTGATATGATCAATTTCGATGGTCCTTGCAAACGATGCACCAAAGCTAATCGACAATGCGTCGTTACTGTACCAAGTCGAAAGAGACAGAAAAAAGCAGATAGCAGAGTTGCTGAGTTGGAGAAAAGAGTGGAAGCATTAACAGCTACCTTGCAAGCAACGAAATCGGCATCCACACCAACAATGCATGGTGCTGAATCTAGTCTGGAGGAGCAGGGTCAGCAATTTTCAGCAAGACAAAATCCATATGAGCAAGTTACAAATGGAGGTTTCGCGTCGCCTTACTCAGGCCCTGCTGAATCAAGAATGAACTCGAACGACTGGTCCAACTATCCCAAAGCTTCTCAGCCCAAGAACCAGGCATTATCTGCACCCCCGATGGTCATGGCAGGTCAGAAGAGGAAGCATGCCGAGAGTCGAGATGGTACTCCAGCCGACTCTTTCATGACTACTAATTACATGGGACAGAAGACCCCCGACCCCAATGTGCACCCAGCAGCATGGAATGCGCAACTAAAGCAAACCCCTTCACACGAATATGCAGATGTAGTAGATAGAGGATTGATTACGTCAGAGATTGCTACCAAAATGTTCAATTGTTATGTTGAAAGAATGGCCCCCCATATGCCAGCCGTCGTCTTTCCTGCAGGTACCACTGCTTCTGAGATCCGCAAAACAAAGCCAATCTTATTCTTAGCGATTTTGAGCGCTAGCTCGGGCACAAATTTTCCAACACTCCAAAAACAGTTGACGAAGGAAGTGATGAGTATCTATGCGGATCGTATCATTTGTAATGGCGAGAAGACATTGGAGCTTATACAAGCTCTTCTTGTCAGCACTCTATGGTATTGGCCGCCAGAACATTTTGAAGAGCTAAAATTCTATCAACTTATCCACATCGCGGCAGTCATGGCAATTGATATTGGAATGGGTAAGAAAGGAAAAAGTGGTAGGACCGATAAAATGAAGAGCGCAGGATTATGGAGAGATCATCCGTGGCGTCGAACACCATATCCCGACCCCGAAACTGTTGAAGCAAGACGTACGTGGTTGGGTTGCTACTTTTTATGTTGTAATGCATCTATGGGTTTACGGCGACCAAATCTCATTCGTTGGTCCCCTTTTATGGCAGAATCTGTTGATATACTTCAGAACTCGCCAGACGCAGCACCTACAGATAACATGTTGTGTCAATGGGTTCTCAGTCAGCGGATTGCCGAGGAAGTTGGATTATCATTTTCAATGGATGACCCAAGTGCAAGCATCAGTATTGCCGACCCAAAGGTTCAGTATGCCCTTAAAGGTTTCGAACAAGAGCTTGATAAATGGAGCAAGTCCATACCCCCGGAGGTTCAAACACGTAAGTAGTAAACTACACTAATTATACATTGACTACTGACAGTGATATACAGCATCTTTAACCTTGACGGAACATGTAATCAATCTTTATATGCATGAGGTTGCTATGCATGTCGATCACAATGTCGAAGAGTTCAAGCCACCATTTACCGAGGAAGCTTTGCATGGCCCTACAGAAAGCCCAGATGTCTTGACCGCTGCTCATATTTCCGCTCTTTCCTGTTGCTTGACATCCATCGACGGCATTTTTGAAACTTTTCTGCAATTTGAAGTTGATGTCATTAGATGTCTCCCGGTTGCGCACTTCGTTAGAGTGGCTTATGCTGTCGTGGTCCTCATCAAGATGTATTTTGCGGCAGCTAACCCTAATGGTGAATTGGGCAAGGTTTTCATCAAGGACAACATGAAAGTGGAGCATTATCTCGACGGTCTGGTCGAGGTATTCCGTGCCTCTGCAGCAGATGAGAGATCTCGACCCGCTGCAAAATTCTTGATGGTTCTCATAATGTTGAAAACGTGGTTCCATCGTCAACGAGAGGGCAAATCAACACCTACACAAAATCTCGAGGCCGGCGACCCTACAAAACCTACTGGTGACCATTCTGGAGAAGCTGCGAACCAGACAGACCAAAATGCTCAACAAATGGGCTCACAACGCAGTGGGAAACCAGGTTACAGTCCTGCCCCTGCGAACACACCCCTCCAGCTTCTTAGCGAAGTCGCAACCGGTAACTCCGGTAGTTCCCGTCCCGAAAATCAAAATCAAGCTCAAAACCAAAATCAATACGCAGTCCAACAAAACGACTGGTCAGCACAACAACAGCAGCAGCCATATCATCCCACCTACGACCCATCTCTCAACCCCATGAATGCGCAAATGCTTCAAGGCTACGGCGATATATCCGGAAATATCGATCCTTCCCTCGGTATGGATCTCGGCTTTGCAATGGGCGATGGCTTCGAACAAGCGATGGGCATCACATTTGGCGTTGGCGATATTGGGAATTATTTCGGCGAGGATATTTTCGGTCAGTTTATGGGGGGTAATGTTCCGGGATTCGAAGGTACATTATAGGAATGAGGGTTTTGCATGTAAGGGCTCTTGATAGCCCTTTTCTTCTTTCTTTTTTTCAATTTGGTGGGTAAGGGGGGGAGGAGGTATGACTCTTGAAGATGAGAGAGAAGCAGAGCCACATTTTTGTATTTATCACTATGACTTATTTCTACGGGTGGATATGGTACACAGAGACATTTCTTGAGGATTTTGGGGGGGCAGGTAGGTAGCTAGCTATTTAGTTTAATTAGTAGCCTTAGCATGTATACGTGTATATGGATGGGCGCGAATGCAATATCATGGTTGAAATAATGAATGCACTTCCTATCCGATTTATTGCCCAGCTGAATCACAAAGAATATAAATAACATCTCCATTCATCTATCTACGCCAGTATAACAAACAAGCAAGGAGTCGTGAAGATTGTTATCCTTATCTTAACCATAGATCCGTTATCCATATTCCCATCCCTTTCCCTATCCATATCCGTATCCGACCCAACCTAACCTTCTATAAACACCATGCCCCATAAAATTTCGTTTCGTCATTGTGTTAATTGAATGAATGATTGAATGTGCATTCTATATGGCAGTACCATATTTATGAAATATCCAGTATCCTGACGCCGTGAGGATATATCCTTCCATTCCTGTGGGTGATATGAGTAGAGAAGAATGCTCGCTGTTGGGCTAACGTTGACCACATCCCATCTCCGATCTGCTATCATATCTATGTATCGAACAACGCTTTAAATCTTAAAATCTCAATATCTCACTTTCACAACACTTTCGCTTTTGCTATTTCCCAAACATCCACACTTAATATATCTCTCTCAATATCCATATTCATCGTGCTGATGCATCGGACATCTTCCCGGATGTTTCTCAAACCATTTTCTGATACAACTCAAATGAAACCTACAAAAGCATTCCAATCGTCCCATTTCCAATCCTGGTTCGTATTCTTCCAGACAGATTTGACATTCCGCGTCGTCTTGACAATCTTTCTCCGTAGCAATATACGGAAATACTCCTGTGCGTCGAGGTTGAGAGGGGCCGGCTGAAGGGTTTGATGTAAGAGGGGGAGGTGCGGCTACTGCAGAAGAAGGAGAAGCGTGGGAGGAGGTTGACTGAGCAGATGATTGGGTGATAGGTGGCGCCGGACGTGTTGCTGACGGGACTGGTGGGGGAGGTGTTGAAGTCGGAGTCCCGATGAACATCCTAGATGTGGCGCGATCAATACAGGACATTATATGATCGGATCGAAGAGTTTCGGAATTAACGAGAGCTCTAGAAGGAAGTTCATGATGACAAATGGGGCATTCGTCTTCCTCTTGTATCTGAGGTGGTCGTGGCAAAGGACGGGTACGCAAATCTTCCGCTGACGGGATATGTCGCCTGGCTGATGTTGATACAGTAGCGTTCGGTGGTGTCTGAACGCTAGCAGAAGGGCCTCGTACATTTCTGAGGAATGTAAACTATGATGGAGATTCAGTATTTGCTTTTGTTTTTTTACTAATCAATAACTTACCATGTCTTCAGTTGTGTCCCGCCCAGTGCCAGTTCCAGCAACCGTCGAGCTTCTTGAACGTACACTTTGTCCAGAGCTCATATCCGCTCGCTCCCTGTACCAAGTCTGAAACTCTTCCGCTGTTCTAGGAGTGGGATTCATCCCGGATGGTGAATATCTATTGGAACTACTTTGATCACGAATTGTATGTGAACGATGACCCGCGAGTCGAAATCGAGACTCCGCTGGTAAGCTTCCTGGGATAGTTGTAGAGGGAACGATAGAACTTCTTGTTCGGCCGTGATGCCCAATGTTAAATCGAGGTTCTGTGTCAGAACCAGTTTGGTTGGTTTGAGGTGGAGCTACGTTCGGATCGGGTACACAAGGGTTACAGAGACGAACTCTATCTCCTCCACCGAACTCTAAAGTATGTGTACGTCCTTCGCCCTGTGGATCATGGAGACGATTATAGGCCACAGAATTGTATGGAGACGGATGATCTGGAGGTTGCACGATGTATTGATAGGGAATGGTGATTCGATGCGGGGAACAAGAGTTGCAGACCACACGGCCGCATTTTCTACGAAAGTTAATATGGTGAATCCAAAATGTACTAGGTACAATAAGAGGGGTCAATTCACATACCGACAGTGATGCTTTCTGTTTAGCCAACCAAACCAAGCATTACAAATAGGACACTGAATAACCTCCGAGTCCGGCTGCCATCTAGGAACTACAACTTCGCTCCGTGCAGATTCTCGATCTCTCGTCTGCCTTTGTATAACAGTCGAGGTGGACCGAGATATAGTTGGTGTGCTGTCATCATCCGGAGGTGAATTCGTAGGATGAGCCGAGCTTCTCGGCGACTGCTCCGCGAGAGAATTCGGGGAAGATGATGTACGTCTACTCTTATTAGATTGAGTTGAGGCTCGCCTCGATGACGAAGATTGATTTGACGGTCTGCGATCAAGCCTAGATGACGTTGTATTTCGTCGAGAAGAGCTAGACGAGCTCGGAACCCGATCTAGAGTAGTTGACATGTCTGCTTGATACCCAGCAGTAGAAACACTATGACCTAGGCTATCCTCCCTCATAGGGGCTTTTCCGAGGCTCGCGTTTTGTCTTCGTCTAACACTGCTAACTGAACTTCCCTCGCTAGAATTAGAAGCATCACTTCCCCGACTCATTCGAAGCGTCGCCTGATCATCCATAGTTCCTTCAAAAGTTGCTATCTCTTCTTCTGTATCATTTTGTCTGCCGCTCACAAGGTTTATTTGTGATGTAGTCCCGCCCTCAGATTCATCGCCTGCCTCAACCATAACATGACTATTGAAGTTATCTTCGGAGGAAGAAGGACCCATGAATCCCAGCATGCGCGAGTCCTCCCCTGAGTCGCTGCCTTCGGTATAGAAGTGAGACCGCGGAAATTTACTAGGACTCTTGAGTGGTCGATCCCCTGGTGTGAGAGGAGCAGAAGAATTGGAAGGGCCCCCAGCAGAAGTTACCCATTGACCATTCATCATTCTGAGACTTCGATAACGATTTGGTAGAATACGATAGTTCGAAACGACAGGAAGTAGTTTTATAAAAGTTCGGAGCGGTATATAGCTTCGGATACTGTATTATGTGAATGTAAATATTGTTAAGAATGCGGATTACAACGCCGTATCGGCAATTAGTCTGGAGGATAAGAGTATCCTCTAACACAGTATAACCTTCGCACAAGCCCTTCCTGGCCCCATTCACAGGAACCACTTCTCGCTATGCAGTAGAGCAGAATGGCAGAAGGTTGTTATATCAAATCTACAAGTAATCGTCGAAGTCGAGGCGGGGTGAGTTGTGCTGCACGCGACCTAATGATCATCACATTAGCAATTCTAATCTTCTCACAAGTACCCATGATATCTCAGCTACCACAAACAGAGAACACTCACCGATAATCTATAAATCAAATCCGCTCAAATCCATTAAACAGCCAAGCGCGACAGATTTTCAATATCAGCTTGGCAGTTCCAATACTCAACCAACAAATGATCGAGTCCGTTCAACCGTAACAAGCAGCACAGAGAGCCGTCTTCTTTCTCCCTATCGATTCCCCGTTGACATCAAATCCTTCTGGTATCTTGTCACGTAGGACGAACGAACCGTTCGAAATGGCAATAAAATTACGATTAATTCTCGCGGTACTCAGAATATTTTAAACTGTGTATTAAGACGGATGATGTTTGATCAGTGAGGTGTGGTGGTAGTACATCAATCTGCCAAACAGACTATTGTTATCGCGATAAGAGTTACAAGAGGGATAGGCTATTTCCGTAAGCTTAATATGTTGCAGGGGATAGAAAATCCTTGGCTTCGTTGTGTGTGGCGGCTACAATATATTGATCTTGATATGAGTTTAGAAGTTTCAGTCGGAGAGAATTACTTGTTTCGTATCCAGGAAAGAAAGTGCATTTGAACATCTCTATAGAATTATGATAAGGTTATGCCAGAAAATTATTCAGTTACAAGACGAATCAAATCATATCAGACTTCCCCTCGTCAGCTTTACTGTCTGTCAGGTGCGCTACCCATCTCTGTGGATTAGTAGATACCAGACATCAAATGAGTGCTCCAACGGTTGTTTGGTTAATCAACTCACTAAGACTTGTGTGAATAAGTTCGCCAACGCATGCTTGCTACCGTGCAAGTCATGCAGACAGAAAAATACTACTTCAGTAACATGAATCACAACATTACAACGTGAAAAGATTAGATCAAGATATCTTTATGAAATGTGGTATTAAATTTTTGTAATCGCATTCATTGTGCTAAAACGTTGAAATAGTTTTCCTCATCTAGTCTCTATGGTACTAACTCATTGTACTAGAGAAGCCATGCTAGACCATCGAACTGTAATAACTCATGCCACATGGTGGATCATATAAACAGGAGAGCCACCAAGGCTATCGCTCATTGCAAGTAAATAAGTAACCCTCTAATGCTCCAAAAGTCTCAAGGAACCTTGTACCACAACGTTCTCCAAGATGGATCCGGGAGGAATGTCGATAGTTTGTCCTTCAGTTGCTACAATAATAACAGTACCCTTGAGAGTGACGCCTCTTCCGAGGTTGACAGCTCCAGTGATGGTCAAGTGATCAAGCTCAAGAATTCTTGGGATGCTGCTGATACGCTTTTGGAAATCAGATACCTTCTTGAAGTCGTTACCGAGCTTGATCAAAGGAGCTGGACCGAAACGGCTGGGGTCAATTTGGAGTTGGCCGTGCTTCAAAGAGTACAAGTCCGACTTAACAAGCATCAAGTCAGAGCAGGTCTTGACTGGCAAGAAACGTCTACGGGGAACGTTGACACCGTGAGCGTTGTGGAAATGACGGATAGCAGCTCCGACAGCAGTCTCAAGTTGAACGATCGAGACATCAGACTCGCCCTTTTTATCAGCTGGGATGGATTTGTTGTTTGGAATGATCTCCATCTCGAGCTCGTTGTTCTCGACAATACGCTTAACAGCTTGCAAGTTCAACCAGATGTTGTTGGTGTTGAAGTACTTGAATTTCTTGATAGATTTGAACTCGTTGGTGTGCTCTTTTGGTACTTGAGCGATTTCGAGGAGACGAACGGAACCTTCGTAATCGATGATAGTACCACCCTTAACATCGGCCTTGGTCTTGTCGGTCAACTCCATGATATATTCAGACTTGGTCTCAACCATGTGTTGCAAGATGCGGAGATCAACAACAGCACCCAAGTTGTCAACGTTGGAAAGGAAAACAATCTCAACACCTCTCTTGATGAGGGTATCAAGAATGCCGGAGTTGTAGAGAGACTCGAAAACATCTCCGTGTCCTGGTGGGTACCAGTCGGAAATTTGGGAATCGAATGTCTTTGGTGCAGGAAGGAGAGAGTCCTTCAAGATTCTTGGGTATCGAGATTGGTTGAATGTAAGAATGTCAATGTTGTGACCCTCGTATTTCTTGATGATGTTGGAGGTATCGTCATCAGTGTTGAACGAGTTCATCAAGACGAAAGGAACGTTGACGTTGTATGTGCGGTTGAGGTATTCGATTTGTCTGACGGAAAGATCGAGGAAGGACATGCCATCACGGACTTCGATGACTGATTTTGGACCAACACAACCCATGGAAGTACCAAGACCTCCGTTAAGCTTGAGAACAGCCAATTTGTTAAGGAACCCAACCGACTCGGAGTTTGCAAGCGAGTTGTAATCGACGACTTGGTTTTGGGCAGGGGGGGCAATGCGATCCCAGTCGCTGCTGTTTTGTTAGACTAAACATATCTATCATGTCCAGGAGACTGATACTTACAGTTGGTTTCCCTTTGCCTTATCGTTCAAGTATCTGCGGAAAAGAGCGAAAAAGTTGTCCATCTCGGTCTCGAAGAGCTGTAGGGCGTTAGATATGTGTGATACTGCGGGAATGTGCTTGAATATACCTTTTTCTCTTCGGGATCCTCAACGGTGTCTGCGAGGTTGTTGAGAGCATTTCTCATCTGACTGGCAGCTACAGATGTTGAGGTGTTCTCGAAAGCCTGATCGTTTGTTAGTTTGATTAGAGCTAGAAAAATCGATAGCTGGAGGCATGGTGAAATCTTGAGACTCTAATATAAAAGGAAAGTGGGATGGCAGGATGTAAATCAACAGGAGGTGGGTTTAGATCGAATTTCGAGTCTTATTCGACGTCTGCTCCAACACTGTTACGACGGAGAACCTTCCCCCCCCCTTCTAAGTTGGCTGCGACATGCATGTAAAGTCCAGGTAAATACAAATACCACTTTTGAGTCATTTGGGGACTTTGTAATTTCCGACATCCACTGGATGGTACGGGAAATTATCTCCTGCCACTATGTGTGTACAAGCAAAACCCCATAGTGAAGTATCGTATCTTGTATATTGGCATTTTGTTTGTTTAGACCAGAAGATTCCCACTTCTGCCACCTTGGAGGGTGAAGATGCGTGGTCTTTCGTCGGTGATCCATAACGAAAGAGAGGGTGAAAGTTGATATTTCATGAAAGGAAAGGACAGCACATACCATGTGTGATTGTGTCTTTCCATGGTGCTTGCGGGCGAATTCGCCATTATCGTTTGGAGATAAGCTCGAAGGCTTGAGGTGGGAAGGGAGAGCGCTTTTCAATGCTTGTGCCATTTTGTATTGTGATTTTGAAGATATTCGAATATTTGTAAAGGAGAAGTAAATGGTTGGGTATGTTATGGAAGAGGAGAAGCAATCTAAGCTTTCTATGAGAGGAAAGAGAAGGTCAGTTAGGCGATATGATCAACACGGTGAATATTTAGCACGACAGGGAAATCTGGTATGAAGTTGTTGTGCCCCGCCAAAGCCAAGGATATGATGATTCGGTCACTTACTTTAAATTTTCCAGAGGGTATTTACACGCAATCAACACACAAAAGAAGATATCGAGTCAAAGGAGCAGGTTGGCCAAGGTGGAAATGTTGTCTCCTTTATATACCTCTGTTCGGATAGTGCAGATAGTGGTCGTAGTTTACATAGGTAATGTAATGGGTTGGCTCCGTTTAGCTTTGAAATTAGGAAGTGGTAAAATAATATAAATTGCCTACCTATGTTCGGGGAAAGGTTGAGGGGCTGGGCAGTTGGTTACTAGGTAGATGGTTTGGCTAGTAAGAGGGGTGCTTTCGGACTAGGATTGTCACCAAATTCGTTCTCATTCGTCCTCCCGATGAAATGTTGTTACATCTACCACCCAAAGAATCCACGGTTTTGCATGTACTTCGTACAGATTCATGTTGTGGCAAGAAATCCTGAGAACGTGGATAAATGAACGACTTCAACAATCAACCATTACAGATCATCTAGAACTACATGTGCTATGGATATTATTGGTGTTACTACGACCCTTTTCCGGGTTTTCATCGTGGTACATGCTCTATGGAAGAAACATGCACACTCTCATATGTTGGATGAAAGGTCGACGAAGTACAGAATGCCATCTTTCAATCGTCACAAAAGTTAGGTACCAAGTTTCTATATTTAACAGCCACCTAACCTCTTGGTCCATATTGACCCGGTCCGGTTTTGCCCAACTACTTCGTATGCTGTTATGGCATATTCATCGCGGTCAGATATCTCCACCATGGATCTAAGACCCAGACTATCATATTTACTATGGAGAGGTTCAGCTCTAGATTCCGCTTTAGCTTCTTCTTTGGATTTTCCGTTCTATCAGTCGAGGAGAAAAGGGGGTTCTTGCGACCCTGACGAAAAGCCAGACATCAGAATGATAATCTTGAAGAAAAAAAAGAAAAAAAAGGAAAATCGACTTCAAGACAACATGTCACTGTTTTTATTTTTCAAAGACTATCAAACATCGATTCGAATCAAAAATACATTTGGCATGAAAGTTTGAAGAAGATCAAAATATGAATATCGATTGTTTTTGATTTTTGGAATAATAATACCTAGGTATTCGTCGAGGGGCTTCCAGTCTTTTCTCAGGATCACCGAGGGGTTTATTATTAAACTTTTAACCACCTGGTAAATGGAGCCAATGGAGCTGACTGATGGAGCTACCTACTTTTAGTAGTATCAACTCTGTACGAAGTATATCAACCAACTTTCTTTATAATTTCCGGAGACTTTACGTTGTGCTATGATGAGCCACAGCTTCTATTCAAAAAGGCTGAAAAGGCACACTTACACAACATATTCTACCCTGTTCGGTACATTTGAGAAAGCCACAGGTTGATAGCTTCCAAGGCTCGTTTAGCTTCCGTCCCATTTTCTCAAAAAAAAAAACATACCAAACAATTTCAGGCTACTTTTACACGAACTGTCAAAATTGTCAATGTGGCACATTTCCGACGCCAAAATAGATAACCCAATACGAGCACTTAGCGACCTTAAGTTAATCTAAATGCGATTTGAAGAATTTCCTTTCATCCTTCTTGTCGCATCCGAAGAAGAGACGACAAGTTCATACATAGATAACTTCCAATGTCCATGTCTACAGTTTCCACGTGGGGTTTCTCAACGGTAAATAAATGATTTGCGTCTCGCCCAGCCTTATCTGGGAACCCAGCGAGCCATTTTGTCGAGCTTGTGTGACGATGACCTGAATCATATAATTCTGAGTTATTGAACCTTCTCGACATTTCTTCAAGTGGAAGTGATCCATCCATATCTACCAATATATACCAATATACCTACCTATCTATATCATCAGCCAGAGCAGAGG